TGCAAGTTGATTGCCTCCATCAATTGCCTGTTTTCTTTTTCTTTGCATTCTTCAGATGTTTCTCCAGATATTTATATAAAATAAATATAGCTGTTAGGAGAAATTACATGGAAGTTATAGGAGTTCAAAAACTCTAACTATCTTATCTGATATATCAGGCATGAGAAATATATATAATTTAATATTATATATATTCATATGATACGGACCTTCGTAGGTTCATGCACTGCATACAAAATAGCAACGTTAAATATATATATTATATATATTCATTATTCATTGCATGTTAACATGCAAAATGAATAAACATATAAAATATATATATAACTAGTCATGCATGCAGTACATTCAAAACAAAAGAAAGAAGTGAAAGCCATCTTTCGTTAATGTATATATTAATACTTGTTATGCATGTGAACTTTCATTATTTTCATTTGGCCGGAAGGAGCCAAATAGCCGAAAGTTCATCATATAGCCGAAACTTCATATAGCCGAAACTTCAACCATATGAAAACATATTTCCCAACTTACTTTCTACCAAACTAAAATAATATTTATAACTCCACAACACCAAATATTATTTAAGCTTTTCATGGTAGTACATCTGAAATATTAATCTCCATTACTATATAAATCTCCAACATTCCTCCTCCATTTATATAGTAAAGACTAATACTTTACCAAGATAAATCCAAAACTCATGCATAAATGAAAGTGTCTCAGAGATTGAACTTTCACTTAGTGTTATATGCGTTACATTAATTCGGATTGCAGTGATGGACGAACCTTGAATCACGCAGTCTCTTTGAAAAAACGTAGATATAACACACACAAGTTTTACAGTCATTACAATTCACTGTAACTTGACACTATAAAGGTCATGTGTCCGTATCCATTAATGAGCACGTACCAAGTAAAGCCCAAACTTGTTTGAAGCGGCCACACTTCATGCTCACAGAGGCTAATCTTTTATTTCATGCACTGCATCTTGCATTTTTTCAAAAGATCAGTTAAGAGTAAAAACTCATCCCTACAACAATGCAGAACCAAGCATCACCTTTTCTTTGGATACAATTTTAATTAAACTTTTGATGCTTGCAATCACAAAATGAAGTACTCATCTACATTGAACTCAAGATCTAACGTAATAACTTAGACGTGAGTTGAGATTTCCTTCACCTGCAATTAAATAATTAGGATTTCCATATCCCTTCCGATGTACCATGTCCCTTGCAAGGACTCTTGCAAACGGATCCGTTAAAACCGGGACTGTACCAAGTCCAGTGCTACAACACCATAACTTAGGAGCTCCCGCACATAGCTATATCTCATGCCTATGTGTCTTAACTTGCCATTATAACTTATTGTTATATGCTTTGGCCAGTGTAGTAGCGCTGTCACAATGTACTAAAACTGGTCACATCGGTTTTAACCAAACCGGAATCTCAATAAATAAATTCCTTAGCCAATTAACTTCTTTGCATGCCTAAACCAATGCAATAAATTCAGATGTCATAGTTGAATCTGAAATGCAACTTTGGTTTTTAGAAATCCAGGAAAAAACACCTCCTCCAAGCAGATAAACCCATCCACTAATTGAGGAAAACTCTTCCTGATTAGATATAACTGGCATCATAGAATTTTAATATTCAATCAATGAACTTGTGAAAATAAAACATTTGGTTGATCCTACCGGAACCCACTTTACAAGTTCCTAGTCAATAAATATTTATTTTCATGTAAATTCTATAACCAAGAATTTTCAATCACCATGTAGAAATAATTAACAGTGAGTGATTCCTTAAAATCAAAAATTAAACCTCCTCCACTTGGAATACCATCCACTTTGGAGAACAATCATATACTGATATATCTCCTCCATTCAGAAATATCCATTCACTTTGGGGAATAATCATATATGATTTTAATCTTTTAACTTTTCATGTTTCTTCTAAACTGAAGAATCATACCTTCTTAAATCATAGTCCATGATTTAAATTAAAAAACTTTCTTTTCACTGTCAATTTCCATACTAGATAAACCAGTAAACTTTTTGGCTTTCAATATTTTAACACATTCTCAATATGAGAAACTGTGTGTTAAATACATTCATGAATTTTTATGAATTTCATTATGCATACTTCATGCATAAAAGTTTCTGTATGCCTTTATAAGAAATATAACAGAATATTTCCTGGGCTTTCTGCCTTTATCAGAAATATAACAAATATTTCAATGGCTTCCTGCCTTAATCAGAAATATATACAACATAATATTTCACACTTTCACAAGGATAAATTTTCTGTGTGCTAAAGTTATCAATAATTTCATGCATGACATTGAAATTAATTTCAACTTACAATCATTAAACATTGTAACCATGCATAAGAAAACAAAAATTGATAACACCAAATTAATTCAAATTTGGCAGATTTACAGCACCTCAAGATCCAACATATTATACATGTACCTTGTATACTATGCATGCAATCGAGACAGAGTCTCAATATAAAAATATTTATATACATGCATAAACATATCATTGTATTTAACAGGCTATGCAAAATTCAAAAGAATCTCATGCATATCTTCTAGACCTAAGCCAGAACTTAACCAGTAAACAAGATAAAACTTACATTCATGCCGAGGCCGAGACAAATAAAAAGTATTGTACCGATCTCATCCTGTAACTTGTATCTGCTTTAATGGTCATCACTTCCGGCCTTTGATACGATGAAACCACACACCCACTCTAGGGAAATACACATGGCTAACAAAATGATTTATTTAAATAAAATCATTTTCACATCTCACTAATCATCTTGGTATAATCTAATACCCCATGAATTTAAGTGAAGATGAAAACAAAACTGCACAGCATGCATTTAAATCACCATACCAGGAACACCGTGCAAAAGCCGCATGAAAATCTTCTTATACAATAGAAAGAAAGTGATTTATGTCATCCTTACTACCAAATTCGAAAATCTCATTTCGAAATATTTCCGTGATAGGAAACTGTTCTTTCACGCCTGACATCTTGCCTTCAAAACTTTCAAGGCAAGATCAATGATCACAGGTTTAAATTTTAAAGCTTATAGATTGTTGGAAAAAGTATGCTTGTAATCTGTAATACATTTGAGATACAACAATAATACAGAATACAACAGGGAACAAAAACTGGATCATTTGATATCTTCAGGCGTGTAATCACTTTCCTATAAGCTTTAAATCTCCCTCTATAAAAGCAACAAGGTTCAAGATTTAATCTTATGGGATACAAGAAGATGAATGAAATTCTCAAGTTGCTCTGTTTGAGAATTTCCTGTAGAATTGTAAGCCTGTGAAATATCTTGGTTTCCTGCAAGTTGATTGCCTCCATCAATTGCCTGTTTTCTTTTTCTTTGCATTCTTCAGATGTTTCTCCAGATATTTATATAAAATAAATATAGCTGTTAGGAGAAATTACATGGAAGTTATAGGAGTTCAAAAACTCTAACTTCCATTAGATATATCTTATCTGATATATCAGGCATGAGAAATATATATAATTTAATATTATATATATTCATATGATACGGACCTTCGTAGGTTCATGCACTACATACAAAATAGCAATGTTAAATATATATATTATATATATTCATTATTCATTGCATGTTAACATGCAAAATGAATAAACATATAAAATATATATATAACTAGTCATGCATGCTGTACATTCAAAACAAAAGAAAGAAGTGAAAGCCATCTTTCGTTAATGTATATATTAATACTTGTGATGCATGTGAACTTTCATTATTTTCATTTGGCCGGAAGGAGCCAAATAGCCGAAAGTTCATCATACGGAAGTTCATCATATAGCCGAAACTTCATATAGCCGAAACTTCAACCATATGAAAACATATTTCCCAACTTACTTTCTACCAAACTAAAATAATATTTATAACTCCACAACACCAAATATTATTTAAGCTTTTCATGGTAGTCCATCTGAAATATTAATCTCCATTACTATATAAATCTCCAACACCTTCAAGACCCGCATCTTGCTGAAGCTATGGCTATAAAGGAGGCTCTATCATGGGCAATGGAGTGTGGTTGGAGAAAGCTGGTGATTCTCTCAGATTGTCAATTAGTGTGCGCATCCTTAATATCTTCTGCTCCGGATAACTCTTATGCAAGTTGTGTGCTCAAGGATTGTCTCAGTCTTAAACGACAGTTTGATTATGTGTCGTTTCGGTTTGTTCGTAGATCAGCGAATAAAGCTTGCTCATGCATTGGTAAGAGAAGCTTCTTCCCAGTCTGGTCCTCGTAGTTGATTTCTATTCTATCCTACTTGTATTCAACATTTAGCTTTTGCTAATTAATATATCTTCGTTTTTCCGTTAAAAAAAAAGTCATTATGCCGTGAATTCATTAGGTTTGTCTCAAATAAACCACCCTTCTCAATACTTGAAATCCTTGAATTAATCTTGCATGATGATCTCCTTGATTCAAGGATGGACAACCAATCAAATCTTACCCTGAAATATATCATCACAAATATTGCTTGAATAAATATTAGCCACATCTTTTTGTCTTCAATGAATAAAGTGATCACAGGCATAATTAATTAAGGAACTAATAATACTAACTAGAACCTTAATTAGTCTAACAAATATATTGCCAATATATTCTATACATATTATTTCACTTACAGGAAGCTCTACGAATTGGTTTTCTGAAATTAAATTCAAACGCAACGCTGTTTGAGGGAGAGAGGAGAGCTGGTTTTGGTTTTGTTCTACATGACCATGAGGGGTTATTTGTTGCAGCTGGCAGAGGTCCTCTAAAATGCATTCTGGATCCTTTGGTGGCTGAGGCTATAGCGGTATAGGAGGCCCTGACCGTGGCTAAAAGATCAATCGTATGGTAATGTAATTGTTGAGATTGATTCACAAGTGCTTTGGTCGAGACTCAGAAGTAAATCAACAGATTAAATAATATAGATTGTCATATTACTAACATGAGTATTGAATAATAATAAGAACAACAACCCTAACACCAACTCTGTAGAGGACTAGCAGCAATCCATAATTATCAAATGAATTAAAATTATTAAATTAGACTAATTATTTTAATCATTAAGACTACTTATTTATTGAACTAGTAATCCATATATAATTTTCTTGAAGTGCATCTGATCATCAGTATATCAGATTGAGATGCTGTTGGGAACACCACGACCAGTCACGCCTGGAGGTGAAGAGGGCATAAGTAGTTGATATGGAGGGATCCCAGCACCGTTTCGGTTTTTCAGATTCTCATCCTTGTTTCTTCGGTTTATGGTGTCTTCTATCTCCTCTAGTTTTGCAGAAAATGTTGCAAACAGGTTTAGAACATGGGGATCCGTGATGGAGGAGCTATGGAGTTGGTGGAGTTGATGCAAGTACTCCTCATCAGGAGAATGTGTGGACAGTGTATCTTGGACCGCCATCACTTTTGTAGCTTGGAGTTGAGTTGGCAAAGATGACAAAAATGTTTGTTGAGGGTTAAGGAGAAAGTTCTGGTAATCATCATCTTGTTCTTGGGGGATCAGTCTGCGCATTAAGGTTGGACGATTTGGCACATAACCCCCAAAAGGGTACTGCCCAAAGTTGATGGCAGCATGTTGGCCTGAGGCAACCCATATGATTGTGGTTAGAATGGCAGATAAGTCATGTTTGGTGTTGAGGCTAGGCCACCATGGCTCATGTTTTTTGTCAGCGTGGCCTTTGTTCTTGATCTCACTCCACCAATCTTGGAGTTCAGTGTCGGATGTAACACAGCCCGGATGATCAGAAGAATAATAGTGGTCAACGTAAGATTCCACCAGCTCTTTTATGGCTGCCCATATCAGAAGCCCATCTGCTGCATAAGGGTAGTCTTCAATCACAAGTTTTACCCCACAAGGTGCTGATGGATCCTCCTCAGCCATTCCTCTTTTCATTTTGCAAATTCAAAACAACAACTTTAACATAACATGTTGCACCATCAGAGCATAAAATGAATGATATGATAATATACATATATATTAGTTTAAATGCCCGCAGCACCATGTTCTATGTGGATTGTACCATTAGGTATGTACAAATGCACCACCAACATGTTAAAATATCACAAATGAACCACCAACGTGTTAAAATATCACAAATGCACCACTAAACGCACCATACTATGATGCATTTTTGTACACGATGGGGTGCATTCTTGCATACCTAATGGTGAATGACTGCAGGTCCGCACGGAAACCAGACATATATATATATAGACATTTTGGTCCCAAGAATATTAGCAAAATGATAGTTTTAGTATACATGCTTAATTACTACTAATTTTCAATTCATCCACGACTATTATTTTCGTGCCAAAGTTAATCACGCTAGTCATCCATCTGGTTAATACATGTCGGATTGTGTAATTTGTAAGGATATTTTATCCATTCATGTATAATATGCAAATTCTATTAATGTATGAATTCCCATCCAAAATATACCAAGGTCTTTGTACTCCATAATCGCCACCATGTCTTGGGGAGGGTTTCATAGAGTGCGGATTCGCCTTCGCCTGTGCAAGAGACTTTGCACAGCTCGCAGGCGTAGGTGTCGGTGCCAATGATGAGGAGACCCCGATTCGACCCGTGATCTTATTCATTAGCCTACCGGTTGGCGTGTGCCTGCAAAGTCATCCTCGCCCTAACGTGGCGGGGTTAATGGAGTACAAAGGTCTTGGCATATTTTCAATGAGAGTTCATACGTTATGGATGAAAATACGTTTATAAATTACAGGCATGTTTTAGCAAGATGGGTGACCGACGTGATCAATTTTGACACAAAAGTTATAATCCTTGATAAAAATTTATAGTAATAGTGGTGGGTCCAAAGTTAGTATTTACTCATACGGAGTATATTATTTCTGCAACAGAAACAAAAACTATATATAGTAAAATTACATACCTTCTTACTAAATCTGCAGGCAGTCCTTCCATGTCGAACCGCCACATGGTCTTGTAGGCTGCAGAGCTTATTTCCATGGCATACTTCCCGGGGCTAAAGCAAGCTTCAATGATTCCTCCCCCATTTATTAAACTTTGCCTTGCAAGTGCATTGATTTCCATGGTGTAGCGCATATGAGGACGGAGCAGTTTGTAAATTGGGTGCATTGAGCTAAGCTGTCTCTGGGTTGCAATGATATAGGGTTCCATAGAAGCATGAGTCCTCAACCTGAAATATGAATTGAAGTTATGGATGCCCAAAACAACTCCACCACATTTCTACGCTAGTTTCCTAAATTCATTTCACAATATAATGAAGATCAAACAGAAGTGCTTGTTAACCAACTTAGTTGGCCTGAGTGGCCGTGCATTCTTATCTCTTAAAAGAGGTTGAAAGTTCAAACTCTCTCGTATTAAAAAATCAATCTGGTCAGCACTTTGCATCTTAATTAGGCCAGTCCGGTGTGAACAAGGATTAGTCTGAGTATGGTAGATTTAAAAGTGCCTCCTATATTTAGGGTCTGCTCAGAACACATTGTGATTTGATAAAAGAGAAGTGTTGTACCGTAATCCAGCACCCAACATCTTGAAAATGTGTGGCGGTATAAAGAAATAAAGTTGCGCCTTACACAACTAACTATAGCTTTTGATGTATTAGAACCAAGTCAGATGTTCGAGTCCCAACAATAAAACTAATTGATGTGCTATAGCTTTTTATATAGTGGTAAGCGCTTGATCGAATATATCTTACCAATGGTTGACCAGTTGATGGACGCCTGCATCATTAGAGCAAACATGTGCTTTAGCTTGCTTCCAGATCCAATAGGATGTTGCGTCTCTACCGTGAGTCAATACACGCTTGTTCCTATGAGGGAGTGAAAGTTCTATAATGATTGGCATCAGATGGGCTGAAGGTGTGTAGAAGAAAATTGTTCTTGTGGCGTAAGCGTTTTTCCCTGCCAAGGAGTTCATCTTCTCCATGAATGGCAGAAGCATGTCATGATAGTCTATTATGAACAATCTCTTCTTTGCGATGGCCTGCACAATCAATATATATATATATATATATATATATATATATATATATATATATATTAAAGCAAGAATGCAAGATCTCTCTCTCTATATATATATATAGTCAAATGAGTCCACTTCTTCCATGAGTCTTTGTGGACAAGTCTGATTCATTAAAAGTTAGAGATCAATGCCAGACCCATTATCATATGTGTGTTACACAGTTGATAATGGACCATATTTGACCATTGATTTCTAGCTTTTAATCGATTAAATTTGTTCACACGGACTCATAGAAGGGGTGGACTCACTTAAACCAATAGTTATGCTGTGCAACCGTGTGCACCATGCATGATGTACATGGTTGCAAAACGACGTTGTTTTGACTAAAAACGTGCGTCCCATTTAAAAAAAATCTGTTTCGATTCTCCTCAATAGCATTATTGTGGATATATAGTTATGAATTTGTGGATATAGTTATGAATTTATGGATATTTAGTTCATTCATTGTGATATTTAGTTCATTCATTCTGGATTTTGTGTTATTCATTCATTGTGGATATATAGTTATGAATTTGTGGATACATAATTCAAATTAAGCACAAAAAAAATGCTATTGCCGAGAATCGAACCTGAATTTTTTTTTAAATGGAACGCGCGTTTTTAGTCAAAACGACGTCGTTTTTGCAACCGTGTACACCATACATGGTGCACACGGTTGCACAGCATAATTTGCGCACTTAAACAGTAGCATGCATACAATCTATTATTCGAATGCACAAAAATTAGATTGTGTGTAATTTATCCAACATGAATGTACATAATATACCTTAGAGTAGTTTGTGTGCATTCGTGTAGTAGACAATATAATGCTGATAAAGTTGAAACTTGCACTATATTGAATTGCCAAGTATTGCTCAATGTCAGTGAACATAAAGAGAACAAACAGGCTAAAGTTGGAAAATTAAAGTGAACACAAAATTAAACTAGGGTATATTTGGAATTATGCAACCTCTTAATTAATCTTGAATTTTTTAAGGCTTGAGAGTTGAGAAGCTAGGTATGAGACTAACATATTAATTACCTACCTCCTCAACAGTCATTCCTGTTAGCTGTTTCTCTATTATATCCTTTGTGATTGCTGATTCAGGAGGACCATAAACTGCAGGATCTAGTTTACTCAGAATTGGAACTTCCTGAATATCATATCAAAACATCAGACTATGTATGTAGTGGGGAAACAAAGTATAGCACCGATGAGCAAATACTAAATTTGATCACATCACGAGAATTAGTAAAATGACAGTTTTAATCCAAATGTTTAAGTATTATTAATTTTCGTCCAAGACTATTGTTTTTCAGTCAAAGTTGATCACGTCAGTCTCCCATCTGACTGAAACATGTTGGAATGTATAATTTGTATAAGTGTATTTTTGTCTATTCATAAATTAATGAAATTAGAATATTATACATGAATAGACGGAAATACCTTTACAAATTACACAATCTAGCATCTTTTAGCCGGAGGGGTGACCAGTGTGATCAATTTTGACACGAAAATAATGGTCGTGAATGAAAATTGATAATAATTAAATATGTAGACTAAAACTGTCATTTTACTAATATTCGTAGGGCCAAAATCGGTATTTGCTCTACGCAAATAGATGCTACCTTCAACAATTCAATGTTAACCGGGTTAACTCCAGCCAAAGCTTGTCGGGCAAACTCTTCATCCCTCAGCCAGGAAAATCTATCAGCTGCAGCGGATCGAGTTTCAGGAAATAAAAACATGTTCGGATCAAACGCTTACCACTTACGTCAAAAAAACAATAACTAGTAACGAAGTCGCAACTTTATTTCCTTATACCACCACACATTTTCGAGACGCAGGATGCTGGACTTGCCCCTTTATCAACCTCTACCAAACAATCCCCCAGTCATCATCAGGTGTTAATAGACTTGGCTTTTACCGGCCTCCGCCCAACAAAACACTACTGATGCAATTTATGCCAGCTGCACTAAATCATGTAGATAAGTGGCAATGCCTCTAGCTAGAAGCCATCTAGGAAGAAAAGAAACAATCAGATCACAAATTAATCTTACTCTTGATTACAGCTGGAATTTCATACTTGAACAATCTCTGGCCAGCAGAAAAAAGCTGAGTCATCATATTAGGACCAAATATATTTGCCTTTGCCTCCTCTCCATCTCTCAAGAGAAAACCATCACTGTATAACTTATCTATGTCTGAGAAGCAGTTGAAAGGAATGTCTGAACTTGACAATGTAGATGCAATCAAAGGTATGAGGTTGTGCAAAGCAGCTTTCAACTTTCCAGCAGAAAAGGTGTCCTGCTTAATTTCCTCAAAAGCTTCATCTCGAGGAACATAAACCGGATTTGGCTTCTCTATTCGAGTCTCAGTGGCTGGATCTGTTCATCATGCTACTCAAAGTTATCAAAAACTATTTTACACAGAGTTAATACAAAATTTAGTTATCAACTAGTAATTTTTTTCGATTTAGTCTTAATTTTTTTTTTTTACTTAATTAGGTTCTTGACTTTGATGATTTTATTTAATTGAGTGCTTCCCCGTTAAAATTAAAGACTGAGAAAAATCACTATAGTCAATAATTAAATTGTGTAAAATCACCATAGTCAAAGACTTAGGTAAAATTAAAATACTATAATTGATGACTAAATTGGGTATTAATACAAGTGAAATTACCAAATCATTTAACATATCACTCAATTAAGTAAAAACCATCCAAGTCGAGAACCTAATTAAGCACAAAAACTCATTTAGAACTAAATTGATAAAAACCACTATAATTGAGGACTAAATTGGGTATTAACTAGAGCTGTCGAAACGAGAAGGGGCCCGCCATATGGCGGCGGCGAGCTAAGAAGCCTGCCAAAATACGGGTCTAAAATAGGTCGGCTCTATTAGGACTCTATGTATATGAGTCTGTTTAGAACTTCTTATCCTTGTCACACTGTGACTCTCTACTTCTTATCATTGTCACACTGTGACTCTCTATTCTATATATTCACATCATCTGATCTCATTGTAATCAAGTTCAGAAAATATAATACAATCAGTTCTCATCTGGTATCAGTTAGCTAGGGTTTTGTGATTCATAAAATTAAGAAGATGCAGCGCTGCGATGGCAACCTTAATTACCGTGGAGGTCAGCAACGTGGCTTCGATGATCCGTGTCAAATCTGTAAAGGTTTCGGCCACACAGGAGTCAATTGTTTTTGGCGCTATGATGATCCGTGTCAAATTTGTAAACGTTTTGGTCACACGGGAGCCAATTGTTTTTAGCGCTATGATGATCCGTGTCAAATTTGTAAACGTTTTGGTCACACGGGAGCCAATTGTTTTTGGCGCTATAATGATCCGTGTCAAATTTGCAAAAGTTTCGGTCACACGGGAGTCAACTGTTTTCGGCGATATTCAGGGGCTCCGGGTTCTCAGGCTAATTTGGTGTTTCAGAATGGTTTAGTTGCTAAAACCTCGTCAAATTCTCATACTCGGGTTCCGGACACTGGAGCCACAAATCATGCAACTCCGAACATCGCTGCCCTTTCTACATCGGAGAAGTACACTGGTAATGACACTTTACGTGTCGGTGACAGTATGGGTTTATCTATTAGTCATGTTGGCCATGCCTCTTTTAATACCCCTTCTAGATCATTTACATTGTCTGATATACTTCACGTTCCGCGTTTGTCTAATTCTTTATTATCTGTTCAGAAGTTTGCATCCGATAATAAAGTCTTTTTTGAGTTTCACCCCTCCTTTTTTGTTGTAAAAGATATCAATACCAAGGAAATACTTCTTCGGGGCAATAGTTCGGGGGGACTATACACATTTTCATTACCTAGTTCGTCTCCGTCAGCGTTTATTTCCACTTGTGCCTCGGCTTCCACTTGGCACAATCGTCTAGGTCATCCTCATAACCGTGTTCTTAGCCATATACTTCGTTCTTGTTTGGTTAGTGGGTCTCGTGATAATATTCGTTGTCATAATTCTTTATGCAATGCGTGTCAATTAGGCAAATCTGCCCGTTTTCCCCTCCCCCGTGTTGCTTCCTCTAGTTCTCAAGTCCTAGATCTTATTTACACAGACATTTGGGGTCCTGCGCCCACTTTATCTACTTCTGGCTTCCGTTATTTTGTGATCTTTGTGGATGACTATTCCCGTTATACATGGTTCTTTCCTATGAAATTAAAGTCTGATCTTTATGTCATCTTTGATAAATTTCGTACTCTTGTTGAACGGTCCTTTAATTGCAAAATAAAGGTCATTCAGTCTGATTTAGGTGCTGAGTACAAAAAGTTTCATTCTTTGTTTGTTCAATTAGGAATTCAACATAGACAATCCTGTGCCTATACACATGAACAGAATGGTCGTGTTGAACGAAAACATCGTCACATTGTTGAAACTGGTCTGGCTCTTCTAGCTCATGCCTCTGTTCCTTTGAAATTTTGGGACTTTGCCTTTGAGACTGCTGTCTATTTAATTAACAGAATGCCATCTTCTGTATTAAATAACTCCAGTCCTCATCTCCTGTTACATAAATCCCCTCCTTCCTATCTTTTTCTTCGTGTCTTTGGGTGTTTATGCTACCCTCATCTTCGACCATATAATCGTCATAAGATGTCATACAGGTCTTCTCCATGTGTCTTCCTAGGTTATCCTGAGTCCTTTAGGGGGTACAGATGCATGGACTTACATACTAATAAGATTTACACATGCAGGCATGTCAGATTTGATGAAGAAGTTTTTCCCTTTGCTACTAAAACTTCTTTGCAGGATCTATCTACTCCGTTTTCTGGACCTTGGGTGGAATCTGTTCTCAGTCACAGCACACCTATTCCTGCCGTGTCCAATGATGAGCTGCCAGAACCGCCGCTACCTGCTTCATTCGAACCAGCCGTGGATCCTGGACAGGCTGCCTCGTCGGGTGATCCTGTGGAGCCTGTTGCTCGCCGGCGAGGCCGTCCACGTGGGCGGTCCATCAGGCCCAATGTCCGTACTCACTCTATGGCCACTCGCAGCAACGCAGATGCTCCTCTTTTTGCTCTAGCAACTCAAGTGCATCCCACGGAACCCACATGTTACTCTCAAGCTGTCAAATATCCTGAGTGGCGTGAAGCCATGGACCAAGAATTCAATGCTCTCCTGCATAACCACACATGGTCTCTAGTTCCACCCACTGCAGGTATGAATATTATTGGCTGTAAATGGGTGTTTCGTACGAAGAGAAAGGCTGATGGTGCTATTGAAAGGCATAAAGCCAGGCTGGTTGCGAAAGGTTTTAATCAGGTTCCAGGTCAGGACTTCTTCGACACTTTTAGTCCAGTGGTAAAGCCTACGACTGTAAGACTCCTTCTATCTCTAGCTTTATCATCTGGGTGGTCTATCAAACAGCTAGATGTTCATAATGCTTTTCTGAATGGTAATCTGGCTGAAACAGTTTATATGAAGCAACCCCCTGGTTATATTGATGCTAACTTCCCGAATCATGTTTGTTTGTTAAAAAGATCTCTGTATGGGTTAAAACAAGCTCCCAGAGCTTGGTTTAATCGACTACATACGTTCTTACTATCGGTTGGCTTTCAAGCATCCAAGACAGATGTCTCTCTGTTCTATTACTCTAAAGACTCTGCTTTGGTTTATCTATTGGTGTACGTGGATGACATTCTTGTAATGGGAAGTGATCAAGGTATTATGTCTCAGCTCTTGTCCAAACTGTCTGCTACATTCAAAATCAGAGATCTTGGTGAACCAAATTTTTTTCTGGGTATTGAAACAGTTAAGAGTGACAATGGGATTATTTTATCTCAACAACGGTATATGAATGATATTTTAAAACGGGCTGGAATGTCTGAATGCAAACCCCTTTCTACACCTATCTCTGTCTCGAAAATTATACCCTTCAATTCAGATCTATATGATGATCCCACACAGTACAGGAGTCTAGCTGGAGCACTGCAATATCTCACTGTCACACGACCTGACCTATCCTTTGCAGTTAATCAGTTATGCCAGCATATGCATGCCCCCACCATATCACACTGGGAGCAGCTCAAACGGGTACTCAGGTATGTTAAGGGAACAGTTGATCATGGTTTACGCATACGACGGTGCTCATCTAGAGACATTCATGCTTTCTCTGATTCTGATTGGGCTGGTTGTCCTGACGATCGAAAATCCACGAGTGGTTTTGCTGTTTTCTTGGGGAGTAATCTTATATCGTGGGTTTGCAAGAAACAGAGAACTGTTGCCATGTCATCCACTGAGGCTGAATACAAAGCTCTTGCAGATGTTTGTGCTGAGGTTCTATGGATTATGTCATTATTGCGTGAGATACAGATTCCGGGTGTTTCCATTCCAAAATTATGGTGTGATAATCTAGGAGCTACATATATGAGTGCCAATCCAATCTTTCATGCGCGCACCAAGCATGTGGAGATTGATTATCATTTTGTTCGTGATCGAGTAGCTTCGGGCGATATCCAAGTCAACTTCATCTCCACAAAGGATCAACTTGCTGATATCTTCACCAAAGCTCTGCCTGGACCTAGATTTTCTTCCTTAAGGGACAAGCTACAGGTTACTAGTATACACTGTGCTTGAGGGGGAGTATTAGGACTCTATGTATATGAGTATGTTTAGAACTTCTTATCCTTGTCACACTGTGACTCTCTACTTCTTATCATTGTCACACTGTGACTCTCTATTCTATATATTCACATCATCTGATCTCATTGTAATCAAGTTCAGAAAATATAATACAATCAGTTCTCATCGGCTCACCTAGTCCCGCCTTAGGCCTGCGGGTCTTGGTGGGGGTCCGCCAAATTTAAATAATTTTAAATTTAAATAAAAATTAATATGAAAAAGTTAATAAGTGTATACTAAAATAATTTGAATAGTTTAAACATATATTAATATCTTAATGCATTTGTAATTTATTGAATACAATAATAACTAACATAGTAATAAGTCCTAATAAATAATCAAATATATAATATGTGCTTCACTTACTCTTATACCAAATTGAAGTGATTCAACTCAACTAAAAATAGTTGGATCTCATAGTTATGTATATGTATTATAGAGTTAATTTCATTTTATGTCTTAGATTTATAGGTGACAGTCCACTTTTAGTCTTTTTTATCCTCATTTGGTCCTATATTATTGTAGCATGACCATATCTGGTCTTCCATCAAGAAAATCATTGAAATTCCGTTAAATACAATGACATTTTGATCTTTTTTTTTTAATATACAAAGTAGGTTGACCCGGTATATTTTTTATGTTTATTTTTTTGAAAAAAATCAAAACCGAAGACTGAAATGCTCTTATATTTGATGAAATTTATACCGTTTTATTGATGAAGGACCAAAAATGGTTATGCCACAATAATACTAAGATTAAAAGTGAATGTTAAAAAAAAAAAAAAAAAAACTAAAAATAAAGTGTCACCTATAAATCTAAATATAGGACCAAAAATGAAATTAAATCTGTATTATATATTCCACTGCTACAAATAAACAAGATGCATACCTGTTTTAGTGGCAGGCCGTCCAGTCCTGCAGCGTCTAGGATACGGCCACTCCTTTCCACCCAAGACTGGCCTAGCCAGATCATCATCTTTGTCAGGATTGCCCAAATCATTATATACTTCATAGTCGTAGATTCTTTCATGTAGCTTCCTTTCACCTTTTCCATTACCACGAATACTCATCAAGTCTGCGCCTCGAAGTCCCTTGATGCCAGCTGGTGTTTGAGATGGTAAATATGCCTATCAAAAAACAAAAATTAAAAAATACGGGAAAATGTTAGGATCAAGTACTTGCCACTTATGTCAAAAGTTATAACTAATAGTATGTAGTGAAGGGTAATTTTATTTTTATATACCCCCACCCATTTTTCATGGGTATTGAATTTACCCTTTAAGCCCTTTATGGACCTCTGCCCAACAATTTCCAAGACTTTTCAAACTTAGCGAACTGAAACATCTTAGTAGCAAATTAAAAGAAAGGAAATCAACTGAGACCCCGTTAGTAGCGGCGGGCGAGAGCAGATTGGGGGTTTGAAGAAAAGCAAACACGAAGTTTTGTTCCTCAGCAAAGTCACCGAGTGCTAGACTTGGCCTTTACCACCTCCGCCCAACAAGAATTATTATTATTTTGATAGAGAAGTAAAGTAAAACGGAGTAAAATATGTTTGGGAGACTCTCATCTATCTCACCTGATTTTTGAAGATAATTCTACTTTCAGTAGGATTATCTTTGGAAGAATGTATCCATGTATTAGCAGAAAAGAAAAGGGGACCTTGACTAAAACCATGGACAACAATTTGCACCAAGTACACCTCCTTGTCAAGGAAATTGGTAATCAGAGCAGCTCCTGGGCATCCAAAATCCCCTGGCACCCTCAAATCAGCTGCATATTCAACTATGTATGGATTATTCTCTGAAGTTTTGGGAAATCCCCTTACATAAGACCACTCTGAACTCTTCCCAGACTGGGTAACTGTAAGAATCAGCAAGCGAAAGGGTAAATGTGACAGTATAAAGAAATAAAGTTGTGCAGACTGGTATGCGTTTAATCTTAACAAGTAGATAAAAACTATACAGTTAAGATTGGGCAGAAACTGGTGAAGGGTCAAGTCCAGCACCTCGAAATATTGAAATATAAAACATAAAAAAAATACCAAGACTCTAACCAGGATCAATGTCTTCACTGATGAGCTGAATCAAGATTCCTTTGCCAATCCCATTGATGAAAGATACCCACTGGTCTTCAATCTTGTCAACAAGCCTCTCTCTCATCTTCTTCCTTAGAGTGATCACTGCCCTCACATCTATACTTGTACCAAACTCCATCAACCCCTTATTGCCCCCTTCATCTAAACCTTTCTCCATCACCTTTCCAGCTGCTTCTTCCACAGTAGCCTTGCTGTCCCCACTCCTAACCACTGCTTGTATTGTTGGCTGCCGGAGACCGGGGAATGGGGTGGCCCTTCTTCTTGCCCGGTGGTTTCTTCCGGCACCAGAGATGACATCCGGTCGCCGGAGGTTGAGAACATGTTGAATGTTTGAGCAGAAAGTTGTAGTTCTTGGTTGAACTGTTGGCATATTCTTTTCTAGCTACTCAAAACCGGATGAACACATTAAATGACTATCATTTTCTATATCTATCAAGATTTGTTATACATGAGAGATAAAACATGTGGATGTGGTTGACGTTTAACAATGCTGAGTTTCGCACTTTCTTTGGGGCTAAAAGCATTGTTGCTTATGTTTCACGAGATAAAACAAAATTTGACTTAAATTGAGAAGTAAAAAAAAAATATAAGTCCAGCAAACCTACTTTCCATTCTAATGTGGGACAAACGCTTCTTCTCTGTCTTTCTACTTTCATTTTTCAATTCAAATAGATTTTTGAAAATCAATTACAAATTCACTTATTATCTATTTTGAATGGATGTACAATATATTGGCTTCTTCGTCTCACTTCAAAGAATCTGAATTCGCTTTCATCTGATCCATATAGAAAAGGACCCACAATTATTGTGTGGACCATGATCCACGTAGCTGTGTGGACCACCGTCCAAAGCGATGTCGTTTTTATATTAAAAAATAAAAAATTCGTGCTTTGCACTTATATGTGTTAAAATAATAAACTTTTTTGGGGGTAAGATAATGCATTTTATAAGTTAGAATAATGTACTTTATATGTTAGAATAATATATTTTGTGTTAGAATAATGTACTTTATGTGTTAGAATGAAATTTCTAGGTAAGATAATCAGTGGCGGATCCAGAAAATCATCTGAGTGGGGGCGAATATCAAATGACGTTAGAAATGTCAATGACAAAATATCAAACAACCATAATAAGTTAAAATACAAAATACATTATAAATTACAATATATTTATTAGAAAATATGAAACATAATCAATTAGATAAAATAATTTGAGTAACAATATATTAAGAAATACTTTTAAATTTTAATTTCTTCTAGTTAGATCGATTTTTCTAAATTAATTCGAATACAATAAAGTATATTATAAACTTGTATACTACATTAATTAAATGATTTATAAAAATTAGACTAAAAGAGCATTTAATTTGTTAATTAAATGATTAATAAAAAGTAGACTAAAAATATTTAATTTATCTTGTGAAGAATGAAAGAGAGAAGATAATTAAAAGTGTTGCTAATGAAATTTGAACTCATGACATAAGTTTTTCATAACATAAAATTTAGAGTTCAACCAACTAAACTACTCAAACTATTGACATTTCTAACATAAATATAGATTTTATATAATATTTCATGCTATATATACATACATATATATAAAGGGGTGGGGTGGGGGGTGGGGGGAGTGGGGGCAGCTTCCCCCACTGCCCCCACACTTGGTCCGCCCATGAAGATTATGTATGTTATGAGTTAGAATAATGTACTTTATGTGTTAGAATAATGTATTTTATGAATTATAATAATGTACTTTATGTGTTTTTGGACTGTGGTCCACACATCTGTGTGAACCACAGTCCGTGCAATAATGCAATAGTTATTGCGTGGACCGTGGTCCACATCGTTTTGCTAATTTTTTTTTTTTTTTTTTTTTTTTTTTTTGTGCGCTTAGCTGCAACATATTTTTTTATAACTTATAATGTACATTATTTTTTAAAATAATGTACATTATTCTAAAGCATAATGTATATTATTTTAAAACATAGTGTAAATTATTATATTCACTCATAATAACCACACAATAATTTGCCCAATAATGATTGTATTTGTACCACAAAACTTACCTGTATAAAATCCAACTGTTATTTTTTGTTCCTTTCTACTTGAGTTGACTTAGCAATTAAAAATGGTTCATATGCAAGACAAAGAGGACATATGTTAGAGCGTAGGTGACACCCCTACGGCCCCACGATATAGTACAAGAGTAATATGGGAAATGTACCATACTGTGAGTAATGAATTATATATAAATATTGTTACTATAATTAATTCTAAGAATGATTAATAACAGAATCAATTTGCTCCCATGTACACACACTATCGAATCATGTAAATTTTGCATTATTATTTTTCCTCTTGTCAATGAATTTTATTCTTTTAAACAAAAATTAAATCAAATCATCATTCACATGGGTGTGTATTATACGTTTGCAATGCTTTGTTTCTTGAACTATTTCATTTCTGAAAAAGAAGTGCCGAATGAAAGCACTAGCAATTATGCTAGAAAGAGGAACAAACCCTTTCCATACGTACAAACAATCCTAAAACTTGCCTATCAGAATAATAAAAGGATGTTTACATGCATTATCTCCATCATCTATCCAATTCCTAGCTAAAGTCCAAGAAAAGTATAACAAAATGTAGCGATAAACCATGTTGCTCACTGAAATTTTAATATTGGCAGTCCAGCAAACGGCAGCAACTCACACCCAATAAGCAACCAATACCATGCCATCCAATCATGTCTGAACAGTCGCCGTGCAAATAGCATGCACTGGTTAAACGCAACCAAAATAACCAAATATCACACGTTAATAAAACAAAGAAAACAATCCAAGCTAGAGTCTGGGCTTTTGGACTCTATAGATTACTAGAGATTGGGCTCTCCAAGATGGCAGAAGTGTAGAGATGGATCTCTTGTGTGCAAAGTCAACGACAGAGACGGACTAGTAGCCAGATTGGGCGACTCACGATTTACATTCTCTCGTGACTCTTGCGTAGTGGTTCTAGGGGCTTAAGATTAATTTAGTATAGGTTAGGAAACTTAATGTATCAAAAAAAAAAAAAAAAAAAAACTAAGAAAACAACACCACAGAAATCGCCTATGCAGGGATCTCGGCCTCCTTCTGACTACTTTGCCCAAGACATTGGCTTCAGAACTCTTGTTCTTCTGACTTGTGACCATTCTTGCCACAATTGAAGCATTTACCATGAAACTTTGCCTTGGTAACGCTTCCCTTCGGACCTAACTTCTGCTTGTCTTTCTTGGCAATCTTGGAGCTTTTACCGTGCTCCACAACGTTGGCCTTAGCGCCACCAATGATAGGACTCGGCATTCCCATCACTATTCCTGTTGCCATCCCGCTACTACAGAATTCACATACAACGTCGGGCCTTTAATGTCGCCTATATACATAGTCGACGTTAAAGACTTTTTAATTTTTTTTTATTTATTAAATTTATAACGTCGGCTATTAACAAATAGCCGACGTTAAAAATAAAAATAAAAAAATAAAAGAAATAAATACCCTACGACGTCGGCTATCTATTTAGCCGACGTTGTAGGGTATATTTTTATTTTTTTTAAAAAAAAATTGTTTAGATATAACGTCGGCTAAACGTTATTAGCCGACGTTATATACTAAAAATAAAAAAAAATAAAAGAAATAAATATGATACGACGTCGGCTAACTATTTAGCCGACGTCGTAGGGTATTTTATTATTATTATTTTTAAATTGTTTAGATATAACATCGGCTAATTGTTATTAGCCGACGTTATATAGTTATTAAAACAGATCTGGGGTTTGAATTTCAGTCATTCTTCACCACTCCGCCATCGCCACAACCCTCCTCTCTTCCCATTGCCACCGCCCTCCTCTCTTCGCCATCGCCACCGCCAACGCCACACCGCTGCCCAGCCGTGAAAGCCGGTCGTCACTTCGCCGCGTCGTTTCTCCGCCTCCGCCGTAGCCTCAGCATCCGCCATCTCCCAGCCCCACACCGCTGCCCAAGCAGTCGCAGCATCACACTGCCGCCGCCGCCGCTCCACCACACACAGACGCACTGCCCAGCCTCCCCGCCGTCCGCTGCACTGCCGCACCGCCGTCCGCTGCACTCCCGACCGCCGTCAGCTGCTCGCCGCCGTCCGAGGTATTTTTTTAATCATTATTATTTAATTCGAATTTTAGTAAATATAATTATATTTTAGGGTTTATTTGTATTATATTTATAATTATTATTGATTTATTTCGAATTTTAGTAAATATATTTGCATTTTAGGGTTTATTTGTATTATATTTGTAATTATTATTAATTTATTTCGAATTTTAGTAAATATATTTGCATTTTAGGATTTATTTGTATATATTTAAAATTATTATTAATTTATTTCGAATTTTAGTAAATATATTTGCATTTTAGGATTTATTTGCATATATTAGAAATTATTATTAATTTGTTTCGAATTTTAGTAAATATATTTGAATTTTAGGGTTTATTTGTATATATTTAAAATTATTATTCATTTATTTTGAATTTAAGTAAATATATTTGCATTTTAGGGTTTATTTGTGTTATATTTGTAATTATTATTATTATTTTTTTTTGAAAAACCAACATCAAAGACGATATATTAAATCAACTCAGAAATAAAATGAGGGGGAACATCCTCCCAACTCATCGGACCAGGCTGAGAGCCAACCGCCTTTGCTAAAGCATGCGCGGCTTTGTAATTATTATTAATTTACTTCGAACTTTAGTAAATATATTTGCATTTTAGGGTTTATTTGTATATATTTGTAATTATTATTGATTTATTTTGAATTTTAGTAAATATATTTGCATTTTAGTGTTTATTTGTATATATTATTGATTTATTTGTATTATATTTGAAATTATTATTGATTTATTTCAAATTTTAGTAAATATATTTGCATTTTAGAGCTAGACTTTTACATTAGGCTGCACAACTCGCTTGTTACTTAGTGTACTGAAAAACATATACTACTAATAACTAGTCTATGCTCACCATAACAATTATTTTAGATATTTGTTGAATCAATGTTAACAAAAGTTTAATTGGAATTAATATTATCCTAGATTGACTTGTGATGGATAAAAGTTGGATGAATGCTTCTCGGTTGAGTACGGAATATGAAGCCGGAGTTAGAGAATTTATAGAGTTTGCAAAACGTTATCTTCCAAATAATAATGATGCGATGTTTTGGTGTCCTTGTAAGAAGTGTTGTAATCTAAAACTATTAAGTGCAAAGGACATATATGATCATCTAATTTGTGATGGAATTAATTTAAATTATACAAAATGGATATGGCACGGTGAAGGAGGAAGAGAGACTAGTACATCTAACATGTATGTTGACAATGAAGCAAATGAAGATGATGAGTCTGAAGATGGGTTTGACGAAATGTTCCGTGATGTTGGAGAAGAGTTCACAAATCGATCAAATGAGTTGGTTGACTTATTAAATGATTCAAAACAGCC